TGAATGGGGAAAGTAGAACCTTCCACATGTGTTAGCTTTGTGATTTTTGTAATGAAAGAGTCGCTGATGCATGCACTTAAATGCTTGTGACCTTGATGTGGTAATTTGTCCTTGAGAAAACATTTTAACACCTTCTGCTGTGTGTATTCAAAGCATGTGAGGTGGCATGAGGTGGCCACACCCACCTGGTACGGATCAGGGCAGAGTGGGGGCGGGGCTAGTGATACTGGGGTGCCCTCCATACTGTATCCCCAGCCCCTGGAGAGTTCTTTATTCCTTCTTAGAACTAAACGATGGAACTGGAGAGAGGGCTAAGTGTGGGAGAGAGCTTGCTGAGCAAGCATGAAGCCCTGAGTTCAGATCAGCTCCCGCATAAAAAGCCAGGCATGGCTCTGCGTGCCTGGGATTCCAGCACTGCCGGGCCCGGAGACATACGGGTCACTGGGGATGTGCTTCTTGTCAGCTTAGCTACAAGTTCAATGAGAGACCCTGTTTCAAGGGAATAAGGGAGAGGATGGGAGAGCTGAACAGCTGATGTCTTCCCCTGGCCTCTGGGCATGCATGTTTGTCTTAAGCTCTAGTTAGCTGACTGGACCTGAGAGAACAGAGCCTCAAAAGGAGGCTGACTGAAGCATGGAGTAACAGGCAGCTTTATTCGGAGCATCTGACAACTTATACTCTGAAGGTTAAGAAGTATCACCAAGTGAAGTGTGACAATCATAAGGATAAGCCACAAGTGGCAAAAAAAATGGTTTTTCCCCCCTCCAAGGAGACATAAGAATAAGAACAGCGGAAGTAAACTCACTCCTCTCCACCACACCTGCAAGGAGCACAAAAACACATTCCGAGAACAATTCCATGTTTTGAGGAAACTGTGGTCCCAAGACCCTTGTTTTGCTGGAGATTTCTTACAAGCCCTCAGAATTCTCACAGGACTCTATTCTTGAACTGTGCTCACACACGCAATCTGTGCATATGACACACATACATATAACAGACATATACACATACAGAGACACACAGGCTTACATACAGACACACACACCACGAAGCCCCAAGAGGCTCTGTCCACCTAGCTCTAGTTCACAAGAATATTGCCCGTTTCAGTTCATCACAGGGTCTTCAACAAAGGACAGTGTCCCCTGTCGTCACCCCTTTACATATCTCCGTTTACCTTCGTGGCTTCAGTGGACTGGGACTGCTTCCAATCTCTTCCTGCTCACGGAAGACCCTCCATAAAGAAAGCTGTGTGCTGTGTGTATCTGAAACTGTGTTTCTCGAGAGTCACAGAGGCCTGCTGTGTTCACACATCCCGCCAGGGGCGCCTTGAACGACCTGCAGGGTCGTTCAACAGCTGCTCATCGGCAGCAGGAAATGGCTCTCTTACTAAGAGTCTCCTTTGTCCCATGTCATCAAAGGGACAGGGACAGTTCACCGGCTGTGCCGAGTAACCTTTTTCCCGGGGCTGCCACGTGAGGAGCAAGCTTGACAGAAAGGACTCCTGCGAGTCACCAGGAAGCTAACGAAACCCAACCAGAGATGACATGGCTGCAACCTGCCCCCACTTTGAAATGAGCAGGTGCTCTCAAGTGTGCAGCGGGGGTGCGTGTCTTAATTCGTTTAGGCGCCAATGAGCTGTAATCGATGCAACGGAAGATGCAACTTTAATCAAAATTAATAAAAAAAAAAAAGTATGCAAAGAAGCAGTTTAAATGAAGCCTAGGAAACAGAGACTCAACAGGCGGCTGGTGTGCCTCCCCTCATCTGAAAAAAAAAATGGCAGTGGTCGATCCCTGATATGGGACAAGGCCAGCTGTCAGAGAAGCAGGACGATGAGCCTGACCCTCCAAGATCACCTTTCTAACTCTTCAGTCTCCAGAATGTATTGACCAGTTAGTTACTGAGGGAACAAATATGGTCCCGTTTGCTGCCCCTTGCAACAATCATACCCTGGCATCCTGCTTCTCAAATACGAGACTGTAAGTTTGGGTGGTGTATCTCTGCTACCCCCTCCTCATTATTCCTCAGTGAACTGACAAATTGAATTTCAGAGCCTGTGAAGCTGAGGCCCAGACCCTAGCCCACAGCCTCCCGCCGTGTTACCAGGACGGCATGACGGGGCCAGCTGGCTTCATGATCTCCGCTGCAGAAGAAGAAAGATGTCAGGCGCTCTAGAGAGCATGCAGAGAGCCAGCCTCTTCAGTGCCCCTCATCTGTCACATGAGAGAATCAGACTCCAGCCTCTTTATTTTCTTCCCCAAGGCAGATACCCAGAAGAAGGGTTCTCAGTGGTGGTTGGGGTTTCCGTTCCCTCTAGATCACACAGTTAAATGCACCAGCTGCATCGAGTAGCTGAGCCTGGAGGCATCTGCAGGAGATATGAACTGTGCTTCTGAGGGGCCCAGATCCCCTGGATGTGTGTGGTGAAGGATGGAGCTTCATGGCCCTTTGATAACAGATTCATTGATTTGTGAATCCTAATGGAGATTGAAGAATTTTTTTTTAAAGTGTGTGTGTGTGTGTGTGTGTGTGTGTGTGTGTGTGTGTGTGTATGCAGATTTAAAGAGCGGTGTCACAGCACTGAGTAGACGGCTAAGTGGATAAAGGGCTTCCTGTGCAAACGTGAGGATAGATTCCAATCCCTAGAACTCACATAAACCCCAGGCAGGCAGGTTTGCTGGCTCTCCTGTAACCCTAGCTGGTATTCAGGAGACAGACCCGGGACCCATGGAGCTGGGGTTACCTCAGTAAATAAAGTGAAGAAGGCTCAAGAAAGATAGTCGTTGTGAACCACTGGCCTGGACACACACACACACACACACACACACACGCCTATACATATACATGTATGCATATATATGTTAACAACTACTACATGTAAACATGCAAAAGAAACAAACCAATATCACACTTTAAAAGAGAATAATCTTTTGTGATTTATCTAACAGTCAAAATTTCCCAGTTCTTCTAGAATGTCCTTCAAGTCTGTTTGTCCAAGCTAGGGTTCAATCTAATGTGTTTTATCACAGCAATAAAGAAGTAAGAGACATGTTCGCAAACATACATACACACAAATACACATGTGAAGAGCCTGCCAGCGATGGCTAGTCTAGCCAGCCAGCCTGCCTGGGGATCGTGTCTCTTCCTCCCAGGTGCCAACGCTGGCAGGCTCTTTAGTGAGAGACACGCCACAACAGATAAAGCAAAAAGCAATCGAGGAAGACACCCACAGTCAACTTTGAACCTAGATACACATATACACACGATCACACATGTACACACACACACACACACACACACATGCTTCAGATGCATATGTGGGAAAAAATATACAGGTTAGAATTTTTTTTCTTAAAAGTATTTCCCTTATCGTTACAGTGCATTACGTAATACTTGGGAGCCCAGGTCCGGTGCTAATGTCTAGGGAAGGATACTCTTTCTTGTCTCCTCTCAGAATGTTATTGTGTGCATTAGGTTATCTGGGAAGAAACCTGCCTAACTTTGTTCAGTCAAGTACTTTCCAGTGCATCTGTCTGGGGATAGTACTTCCCCCCTTGCTCCGCCTTTTTCAAGTAAGTAACGGTGTACGCATTGCATTAAGTACCTTAGGGTCTGCCAAAGGCCTGAAGCGGGGGAAGAGTCTGCTGATTAGCTGGCCACAGGGAGAGTCAGGGAGCATCTGTACTGGTCTCTGGCTTCTGACAGGCCCCCTCGGAGCCAGGCAAGGACACTCAGATGTCTGTGTTGGGGCAGGAAAGGTAGGCAGCACAGGTGGGCAGCCACCCGAGGGCCACACTCTCTTTCCAGAGTGTCACTAAAGCTCACCAGAGCTTTGAAGGAACAGGTAAGCACTTAAGTGTCCCGTAGTCCCCGAGACTTACTTGGACTAGACAAGAATGAGCCCCTTGAGCCAGTACCCAGATCGCATTGAGGGGCCAGAGGGAGAGCCGAGGAGTTGGAGCCAGAAAAACATGGGTCAGAAATGTCTAGGAAATGCTGGCTATTCACCAGGATACCTGGGGAAAACCCTTACCTTTCTCAACCTTATTTCTTCCTCCGTGTTCTAGGCACAATGAAAGTACTTAGCTCCAATGGTTGGTTGTAAAGGTGTAGCTAGACAGTTAAGAACATTTTTTTAAACCAGAAATTTATTATGAATAATAGCTAATTTAAATTTACCAGGGCTGGAGAGATGCTTCAGCAGTTAAGAGCATCGGTTGCTCTTCCAGAGGACCCAGGTTCAATTCCCAGCACCCACATGGCAGCTCCCAACTGTCTGTAACTCCAGATCCAGAGCATCCTGACTCCCTCACACATGCAGGCAAAACACCAATGTACATAAACTAAAAATAAATATATTATTGAAACGGCAACAGCATTGCTAGTAAAACCTAACACTGCTGCTGGGCATAGCTTTAAAAAAAAAATTGACTGTTAAGGATATTTTTTTCTGACCTGTGTGACCTTACAATTTGGGATTTTACCCAGCTTGTCTAACATTTACTAAATACTTACTAGGTCCCAGGCACCAAGATAGCTGCTGGTAAAGAGTGTGGAAGGCAGAGACTCTGCCTCCTTACCTTCCATGCGGGAGGCATGTGACAGCCCCTTCCCCCCAGATCCTGCTGTGCTTTAAGTGGGTAATACTGTTTATAACCTCCAATGAGGTTATAAGCTTGGGAAAGTCTGTGGAAACCTGGCATTGCTCACTAACCCACACAACTGTAAAGGGGCAGTTTCCAGGTCTTAGGACTTCAGGCAGGCAGTGGATCTTTTGGATTGCATGGAGACAATACCAATGGGATGCATTTCTTTACGTGGACAGGGTTCTTTTAACTAGGGGCTAGCACAAGATGCAACAGAAGTGAAAGGATGAGTTTGTATAACTTTTTTGAGAGGAAAACAATGTTTTGTTTTGTTTTTTTAAACAGTAATCCTATTTTTTATTGTAATTTTAAAGCCTTCTTTTAAAAAAATTATGATTTTTGTTGTCCTTTTAGGCATCCACAAGCCCGGAGTTCTCCGGCAGGCTGTGATGGCACCTCAGGACATGCAGATAAGGCAGCCAGACTGGCCGATGCTGAGGTAATCCAGAGCCCTTCCTTCAGTGGGATCCAAGTCCCTGGGCGTGGAGGCTGTCTGTGACTGCCTGGCCCGGCCATCGAACATGAAACTTGTAGTAATGTTTTGAAGTTTTTGAGACAAAAGCCCAGCTAAAGAACCTTGGTTCGGTGGAGAGACAGGGAGGTACGGGGAAAAGAGAATCAAAAGCCTGGAAATTTGCTGCTGAGAATAAACGCCGGCTGCTCCCTGAGGTGATCTGCTGAGTGCTCCGCTCTGCAGCTGGTGGGGCCTCTCTCTGAGAGAGGACCCGAGGTTCTCTGGTAGCACTTTGATACCCTGCTTGAATTCAGCATCTGAAATGGAGGCGTCTCTCTGTGACTTGGAGCCCACAGCAGGCTTTGAAGTCTGATCCAATTTTTGCTGCCTCCTATTTGATGTTGAAAGGGTGAAATGAAGAAAATGTACAGTTTTTGCCAGTAACTCTGCTGAGCATATGTAAGATTAAAAAAAAAAAAAAAAACACAAAATCCTTTGGATGATGTGCTTAGAAAGGACAGATTAATACCTTTCTATAGGTTTCCTTGTTTTTCTCTTAAGGATAAAAATTAAGTAAAGACGAGAATTAGCATGTGGCTGTTCTCTGACCTGAACTGTGAGTGACTGAAGAGGGGTTAGGTACGGAGGAAGAAATAAATGAAAGGTGCTGCAGCTTGACTCCTAATTGCCCCAGGAGAGGACTGTCACTCAGTTCTATACAAGGCCCAGGGAGCATACAAATGTCATCGATACAGTCGGGGGCAATGGTCCCTCAGTTTAATGAAAAGCATGTCCTTCAGCAGAGGATAAAAATGCCCTTTCTCTCGCTGCTCTTTCGGTAGCTCTCAGTTGCTGGAATGGATGTGTCATCTTCTCAGACGAATCACCCTGCCCCGGCTCACCAAAGACTGAGTCCCTGTGGAGGCCCTCTCAAGCCTGGTAAGGGAGACATTCGGGATGCATGCACTTCGACCATTTGTTTGCTGGCATAGATCCTAGTGAGTTGTTCGTGCGGGCTGACCTAGAAGTCAGGACCCAATAAGGCAGTGAGACGATGTGATGGTAACAGGAAGCCGTAAAGACCGGGAACAAGATTTCCTTTAAAAAGTAGCAGTTTTAAGATTGGCATGGTGGCACAATCTCAGCACCTGGGAGGTCGAGGCAGGATGGTCAGGCTCCGTCACCAGCCTTGGTTACACAGCACGTCTGAGGCCAGCATGGGCTGCCTATGGCGCTTAATCGAATATCACCCTCAACTTATGAAACTGTTCCAAAGCTTCTCTTGTGGAAGCAAAGGCAAAGAGATAGCTAGATTGTAGCAGAATTCAAGGTCAAAATCTCTGGCCTAGCAATGAATATGGATTTGGAGACTACTTCTGCACTCTGGGTAGCACGGGGATTCACTTAGCAAAAGACAGGCCTCTCACCATTTGTCTTTGGTGCCAGTGAATTCTGGTCCCTTTTGAAACTCCTTGCTATAGAATATGGTAGAATTCGGTTTCAGGCTTGTGGGCGGCTATAATCAGTGCTTCGGAAAGAGAAACGTATGGAACATGAGTGTAGAAAATATTTATAAACAGATATAGCCCTAGTTCAAGGGGGAAAAAGATCTTGGGCTGCAGAGATGACACTGATTGCTCTTTCAGAGGACCTGGGTTTGGATCCTGCTCACTGCCATCTATAACTCCAGTTCCAGGGAATCTGACCGCATTTTCTGTCCCTCATGAGCACTAGGTACATAAACATACATGCTGCAAAACACCCACTCACTTAAGATAGAATAATAATGAAGAAGAAGAAGAGGAGGAGGAGGAGGAGGAGGAGGAGGAGGAGGAGGAGGAGGAGGAGAAGAAGAAAGCTCTGCTCTTCAAGTATGGTTAGACCCAATGTCAGCCAGACCTTTTTTACTGAAAGGTGTAGTTATTTTTCAGCTTGCTCCAAAATTCTTCTTTGGCTGTTTTTCAATCTGTGAAGATGGGTGCAACGTGAAGGAGAAATGCCTTTGAATGTGCTCGGTCTTCCGGCCTGCATAGGAACTTGCACTCTTGGCAACCCGGCAGGCTGTGTGTGCTGTAGTAGAGCCTTCACGTGTATAGCGCAGAACATGATAACAAACTTTCAGACAGTGTTTCCTTGTAGCCAGGCAGTGTTCAGGGATGTGGCTGTGCTCTCCTCTACAGCGCATGCAATTCCTGTCTGGAGACAGGGCTTGGTTAGTGAAGCTCTCGGCTTGCAAGCGTGAGGACCTCAGTTTGGTCCCCAGAAGCCACATAAAGACAGCAGGCTGGGAGGGAGGATCCTGGGTTGGCCGCCTGTTGTGGGTGAGCTCCAGGCGGATGGAAAAACCCTGCCTCACGGGAGATGGACAGCGTTCTTGAGGATGGCATAGAAAACTGTCCCCTGGGTTACACAAATACATGCACATAATAAGCAGAAGGCATGTAATTCCCCTAAAAATAAGTGTTGCTGAGTAGCTGGAAATGCAAGTTTAAAGGCAGAGCTCTCTTAGTTCACATCTCTACTCTCTGTGTAATGCTAGCTAGGTTATGTTATACATTATTAACTTTCCCCATCACTTTGATAAAACGAGTCATACATTTTGTTGAAAAGCCAGGTGTGATGGGGCATGCTTTTAATACACCAGAACTTGGGAGGCAAAGGCAGGCGGATCTCTGTGAGGTCAACCTGCTCTACATAGAGAGCTCCAGGCCAGCCGGGGCTGCATGGTGAAACCCTGTCCCAAGAAGAGAAAACAAAACTAAACCCTCCTGACAGAGAGCAGCTTAAGGGACACAGGGTTTATTCTGGCTCACGGTTGAAGGTGAAACGGAAAACAGTCCACGTGGTAGGAAGGCATGGAGGCGAGAGTGTGAGGCAACCATCACAGTGAGTATACGTCATGAAGCAGACAGAGATGACTGCTGGTCCTCGAGGGGACCATTGTATTCAGGCTTGGATGCTGTCCCGAGTGATGATGCCCCTCACTTCCACAGTGGCTCTTTCCTCTCTAGCTAAGCCTCCCTGGAAACTCCCTCAGGGATAAGCCCCAACATGTACTTAATGATGCCTCCTGCATCTTTTAATCCAGTCTCGTGTGTGTTGGGCATTAACCACCGCACACCACAGCTCTGCTGCCGGATCCGTGTGTGTAAACTGGGAGGGGCAGCGGTTATATGTGGAGGGCTGTGTGGGGACCAGTGAGCCGGGGCTGGTGAAGGAGGGTACCGCGCACAGCCCGGCTCACAGAGAGGGGTGCTCGGGGGCTGTGTTGACTTGCCGTTTCCACAGGAGTGCCAAAATCCGGCTCTCCCTGTGAGACAGAGTTGTGGTGGGATAGTTCGGGAATAAGCAAAAGAGACTTACTGAATCTCAGTTCTCTTTCCAGTCTGTAGAAATATACTCCCCAAAGTCAGGCTTACTGAGAAGTTGTGAGTTTGACTTTTAGAAGTGGCTCCTGGCTACTGTTCCACAGCCTTCCGATTCAAACGGCTGTGTCTTGGGTCAGTTGCCATCACTTTTACCCCCCCCCCCCCCGCCGCCTTACACCCATAAAAATGGCGTCTGCCCCGAGTGGTTTCCCTGGTCCTTTTCTCCTCCTCCAGTTCCTCTTCTCCACAGACGACTGAGATAGCCCTTCTAAGGCATTGCTCTGGTCCTATCACTCCCTTCCTCCACTCTTCACTTCCCCAGCCCTCCCTCCCCCAGTGTCAACTCTTGATATGTCATTGAAGGTGTCCTATGTTCTTGTGCTGGTCTCCCTTTCTGGTTCTCATGTTCCCCGGCTACTCTTCCTCCTGTGGCTCAGAATCCCTGAGCTGTTCTCTGCTCTGTGGATATGCCTAGTGTGTTCTTTCTTTCGTGACTTTGTTTGTGATGTCCCCTCTCTGTGTTTTTCTTGGCCTGTGATGATCCCTGTTCTGCACCCTTTGCCTCTGTGTGTAGTATTTCTCTCACCCCACCTTGGGTTCCGTGCTTGTGGCAAATTTTAAACTCTCTGGGATCAGTTTACGGTCACTGGGGATCAAACCTGGACTTCACACTTTCCTAGAGTTTAATACCAAGCCACATCCTCGGCCTTCTGGACAAGCTTGCTGCGCTGGTTTCTTGTGAGTTGAAAACCATGATGAAATATAGTAGGAGAGGAAGGAAGAAAAGACTTAGATGCGGAAATATGTTGGAACAGAACTGACGTCTCCTGTGATTTAGATGCTGATTAATGTTCATTGCCAATGTGGCTAGATTTAGCTGACACGCAAACACGCCCCTGAGGGTGCCGAAGGGGGTATTTCCAGAAAGGTTTAACAAAGAGGCAAGGTCCCTCTGAGTGTGGGCATCACCAGTTCATGGGCTAGGGCTAAATAAGGAAGACAAAGTGAGCTAGCTGAGCGTCGGTGTGTGTGACTGTGAATGGTGTGAGCAGGCAACTCACGCTCCAGCCACCATTCCTTCCCCACCAGAGAGCTGCATCCTCTAGTGTGAGCCGAAATACGGCTTCCTTCCTCACCATGCTGGGACGTGCCAATCACCACAAGGGAAAAGTAACTAATGAGAACGTAGTTGTACAAGTTACCATGATGCACGTGCTTGCCTTTTGTTGCTGTTTGTTTTGTTTTTGTTTTGAGATTGGGTCTCACTTACATAGCCCAGGTGACCTCCAACTCATAGATCTCCACCTGCCTCTGCCTCTGCCTCCTAAGTGCTAGGATTATGCCTGGGTAACTCTCTGCTGAAATACTGGCCCATTATTTCAACCTGGTTTTGTGGAAGGCAAAAAGAAAATTCTGTGACCTTTCACATTTTTAAGGACGCACCGGTGCCCAGAAGCTTTCCTGTGGACTCAGGGAACTGACACCACAGTTCCGGAAAGGCTCTGGTGGGTCAGGGCTGGGGAATAAACCCCAAGTGCTCAGTCTGGAGCTCCAGAGAGGCCACCAAAGCAGTCTTTAAAATTGGGACTTGGACAGGGCCCTTAGCTAAAGAGAGTGGGATTGTCTCTGTCTGGCCCACACGTGCTTCTGTGTTGCTCAAATAAAGAATCCAACCAGGATTATTATAAATTTAGTAGGATTGAGACGGACAAGTACAAACTCAAACTGATTCTTCCTATGTAAAGATGTATTTCCCAGGCATTTGTTCTTCTCTGTGTTTGTCCATATGTTTATTTAAAAAAAAAATTACTATTAACACTTTCTACAGGCCAGAATCTGTCCTGGGCCACCGGTTTTCAAGTTGTTTTGGAAGACTTTATGTTTATTTGTTTTTAATAGATTACTTCCTGAGTTGCAGTCTGATGGTTTTGTGACATATAATAAAAAGAAACTCTAGAAAAACAATTACCCACCAAAAGCAACTAGAAAAGCAATCAGTTGCACCCTTGGATATTCCGCTTGAATCAAACTGCTCTCAGCTTTGTCTAAATCTCTTCCTTTCAGTTAGATCACTCTGAATTCCCATCCTAGCCTTGTCAGGCACCAGGAACACCGTCAGCCTGAAGACCGAGTGTCAGTGAGTGACAGTCATGTTCCTAATGACCCAGTGCCTCACTGTGTTAGCTCAGGCTTGTTTGCATTCCTTTCCAAAATACCTCATTGCAACACAGTGCCCCAGACACCAACTGCTGTCACCACAGTTAACCTTCACTGAAGCCTCCGGGCAAAACTGGGCTCTCTAAAAGAAATGTGTAGTACCCCTGCCCAGAGGCAAGGGTTTCTCATGGGTTTACATTTAATAAGAAGTTTGGGGGTGGAAAAGGGACAGAGGCCACAAAGGTGGCCAGGTCTCCCTACCTGCCTAGAGTTCTCAGTGAAACCTGACTGTGGTGGAGGCTGGAGGGAGAGTGGCCCGTAGGTAGTCGGAAGCCATGGAGAGCATCCATGGACCACCATTGCAGGGACCACAAGCCTCCCTGCCTTAGTTACTGTTTTATTGCTGTGAAGAGA